TTGTTAATTTACCTAAACACCCCCTTCCCCACCAGCCACCCCTACAATAAAAGTTTATAAATTAACAAAAACACCCTTACTCACCCAAGCCACTGCCAATAGCCGGTCACCACTGTCGGACAATAGCCGATAGTGGTCAGAATGGTGCACGACTGGCTGGATCTAGTTGTTCGTGTGTCAAGCTGACCTTTATCGGCCAGATCCATCGTGGATCTGGCAAAAAACAATAAGATCTACTACCAAAATCTGGTTCAGTTAATGACCAAAATTTGGTTGTCAATGATGGCTAAGATATAACCTTCGTCAACAGCCAAAGATTTGGCCGTAGATCTGGCCAGACACGCCTAAATTGGCACATGATCGGCCAACTCTGGCAGGTCGTGCATTGTTTCGGTGTCGATGGCGCATAGTGGTGGCTGGTGGCCGACGATGGTTACTGGCGGTGATAGTGGCTTGGGTGGGTGGGGGCGTTTTTGTTCATTTATAAACTTTTATTGTGAAAGATAATTGTTAAATGTTTTGAGTTTAATAGAATATGATAACAGAAAGCAAGTCCCACACACTTTTCCAACTGTAGACAAAAAATCCTATATGAATTGGATTTGAGTAAGATTTTTTTTTTTCTAGATAGGATTTGTGAATAAGCAACCAAACACTTATTTTACTGTTTAATCTTAATAGGATAGTAGATAAGTGATTCTAAAAAGGATAACAAATAGGCCCGATAGTTTTGGGTCCGTTTGGTTTGTTATTTTGGATAGAATTTTGGAAATAGTATTGAGTAGTTGAGTAGGGTGATTATTACGAGGAAAAATTTAAAAATTAACAAAAAAAACCCCCTAGGTTTGCTAAGTTAATTAAACACCCCAATATATAAAAATTTTGTAAAATGAGAAAAACACCCCACCCACCTATAGTGCCAGATTTTGGTCACTACTGTCGGAATCTGGTCAAAATCTGGTGTTACAACGCTGATCGGTCGAATCTAGCTGGTCGTGGGTCGATCTAGCCTTTTTCGGCCAGATCCACCACAGATTTGGCCAGAAAAGGCCAGATCTATGGCCAGATTTGGCCATCAACGGCCGCAAAAAGGCTTGATCTGGCCATCAGAGATGGCCGTCCCTGACCATCAACAATGGCCAGATCGGCGAATTACCGGCCAGTTTCGATCATTTTTACGGCCATCTCTGATGGCCAGATCGGCGAATTACCGGCCAATTTCGGTCATTTTTACGCCATTGTGATAGATTTCGACCACCACTGATGGTGGTTGCTGGAATATGGCAACTATGGGTGGATGGGGGTATTTTTGTTCATTTTTAAATTTTTTTTCTAGGGTGTTTAATTAAATTAATAAACTAAAGGGGTCTAAAGAATTAAATAAAATATAATAGTATTTCCTAAATAATAAAACAAACATTTATTTTGGGAAAGGATTGGGAATAGGGTAGAAAATAAAGAACCAAATAGACCCTTTTATATCTTACTTTGGTGGAAGGTCAATCATTCAAAGTATAAGATTTGTTCTTACATTGCTAGTGATGCTCATCAATAAAAGATCTACGTGAAATGATGGATAAGATTGTAGAAATTGAGTAAAGTAAATATATAATTTAAATAATATAAGGGGGGGTTTTTTTGTTTTCCTCTCTTTTATAGAAATGTTAGGTGTTGCTTCAGATCTTATGTTAGATGATCACTAAGAGATGATAAGGCTTTTCAAGTCATTTGCTTTCTAGAGATGATAAGGTAATGGCCGGAATGGTGCACAACCGGTTGGATCTGGCTGTTCGTGCACCAATCTGGCCTTTATCAGCCAAATCCATCGTGGATTTAGCTAGAAACGGTCAAATCTACGGCCTAGTTAACAGCCAAAATTTGGCCGTCAACAATGGCCAAGAAATGGCTGTTGTCAATGACCAAGTGTCCAAAAGTTTAAAATTCAGCAAGTGCACCTCTAAAAATTCATTAAGTCCTAATAGGTTTGAAATTTTGCAAACACACCCCAAATACAAATCGGTAGTCTACTGGTTGGCGGCGGTGACACACCAAATGTACTCCCAATTATCCCTTGAGTCCATTCCCCAAAAAATCTAGCCAAAATTGATTCGATTTCGACCAGATCTCAACACCACCGGCATCAACAATCCTCCCCCATCACCGTGAAAATACTCTCTTTAGCCTCCTGACCAAAACCCATCTCACCCCACCCCCAATTGCCAGTTCTTGTCGCTATCGGGTTTTTGTTTAATTTCTGATTGATTCACTCAGCGGAAATCACCTCTGTCACTACCATTGTACTCACTAGCCATTTCTCTTCAAAAGCTCCAACATCTCGGCCTTCGATTGTTTGCCGATCATCATCCCAATGTTTAGGGTTTTCGATGAACAGGGAAATTGGTAACTCGGCCTATTGAAGGCCTAAGGTCCTATTGAATCGACCGAGTTGGGTCGGATTTTAAAACACTGCTTTTTTCTCTTCGTATCATAATTCTTTGTAACATTGTTTTTTTCTCTTCATATCATAATTCTTTGTCAATATAATCATTTTTATATGTTTAAATAATATAATAATTGTCTAATGTCAAATTATTTAATACTCAAATTGGATTTAAATGAAATCAATTTATTGATTATTCAATTGAATACAATTTTCTTAACTCAGATTGGGTTGTACTAAATTTGAATTTGATTTTAATTTTCTGTAGATTGGATTGAGTTTTAATTTTCTATAGGTTGGATTAAATTGGATTATAAATCTAAATTGGATTGGATTGGATTAAAAAGTCTAAAATCCAATATATACTTGGATTCGCTTGGATTTAGTAAAATGATTGGTTTTGATCCACCAATATCCATACCCGAGAGGGTACCCATAACCGAATTTTCACACCCAAGGTTTGCGTTAATGATACTTTCCCATGTTAAAAGTTTCAAGATAACACTTTTTTACCCAAATTTTATATTCTGCCAATACCCAAAGCCAATTCCGGCTGTGAAAACTCTCTTGTCACTACCATTTGAACTTCCGATCTCTTCTTTACAAAACCTCTCTCACTCCAACACCTGATTTCTCGTCGATTGTCGACCACTGTAAAACTTAGGTTTCTAATTCTTAGTTGATTTTCGATTGATTCTGATGACAAATATTCAATCGACTATCATTATTCGATTCATTGACCTCCACTCTACAAAACCCCTTTTACCCTTGCTCCTGGTAACTCGCAAACGCCAGTTAAGAAAGTAAAGTATATTTTGAGTGTTAACAGAATATGAACTTTGGGTGAAGAAGTGGTATTTTCAAACTTTTTGAATGGAAAGTGTCATTAAGGCAAAGCTTGAGTGGAACAAAGCAATGTTTTAAAACCCGGCCCGGACCGGCCGGTCGAACCGGTTCGACTGGGACCCGGATGGTGAGCCGTGCTGATTGATGCAAAAAACCGGAGATTTTAATTCATCCAGTTTAGCCCGTGGTTGGATCGGAGGCACTATATCGACCCACTGGTCCAACCATTTTTTTCAATAGACCGGGTGAACTTACAAAAAAAAAAAAAAAAAAAAACCCTTTTATTCCCTAAACCCAAATTGCAGCATTTTCACCCAATTTTCAGCATTTCCCTTTGACATTTTCCTCTGAAAATCTTCCACTGTGACTCCCATTTGCCCGATTTCGTCTCTTCGCTGTCGTTCTCCTCCCAAATTCCAGCGATTTTCACCCATTTTACACCGTTTCCCTTCGACATTTTGCTTGGAAAATCTTCCACCGTGACTCCCAGTTACCCGATTTCCTCTCTTCACCATCGACCTCCTGCTCTTTGTCGTCAACCGCAGCTCATCTTTGCCAGGTACCGTCGTCTCTTCCTTTCAATGCTTTCATCTCTCTTTAACTTCTGCATTTCATCTCTCATCGATTTCCTCCTTCAATGATAGCAACTCATCTTCGGCAGCCTTGTTTCATCAGAGGTGGAGGTTTGCTTTCATCCTCGGCAACAGCTCATCTTCGTTGTCAACTCCGATTCATCTTCTCTGGTCTGTCGATCTCTTCCTTTCTTTTGAGAACTTGACTTGGGTTTGTGTTTTTGGTTCGAAGTAAATGAATGGAGGCGTTGACTGTTGATTATGGTTGTGTTTATCTAGATGTCTCTTTTGGCAACAAATGTCGTGGTTTATAAAAAGTTCTGCAATAAGCCTGTATCATAATGTTTTAGAATGCGCTTTAGAATGGGCCTTAAGGTAAAAGCAAATAAGAAGCAAACAAACTAATTTGTTTTAACTTCTTCTGCTTATGAGGTATGTGGCTACTACAGTCCCTTCTTTCGTGCCAGATATTTGCTTGGCCGGTGTGTTTTTGGTTGCTGCAGTCCCTGTTGGTATGGGCTAGGGTTTTCTGGGTTTTTGGTTTTGCTTGGCTGGTGTGTTAAAAAGCAATTTGAATTTGGTAGCAAGTTTAAACTTTAAAATGAGAAGTTTTAACTTATAGTTTTCATTTTCTAATGAATTTATTTGTAGATGGTGTGATGATAATGATATGTGACCTAACATATGGTGAATTGAGGATGGATTGAAGAATGAAGATCATTGGGTGAAGAAGACCACGTTTTGCTAAAATGTGTATTAAACTATTAATTATTATGTGATTTCTTTATGAATTTTGTTATTTTGAACCCTAAATCAGTTGTAACATGAATTATGTTTTGTTAATGAATCTCTCAAGGAACTTAAATTTTGAAATCTGTTATTTGTTTTTCCTTGATGTCACTATGCTAACATCATGGTTGACCTAACCGATTGACCCAGTTCAATCGATCGACTCGAGACCCAGCCAGCTTGCCGTGTTTTACCCGAGGCCGATTGTTAAAACATTGGAAAAAAGTCGTTTGTTTACTCTACCAATTCTTGCTCAGCTAAATTTTCTTTAATTTAAATGATTAGATGACGACAAGCTCTTCNCGTTTTTTTTATTCAGTCCCCCGCCCAAAGCCCACCCGGGCCCGAAAAAGAAAATAAATAAATGAGAAAATCTTTTCTCAATGCTGTCCTGTAAAACCCTAGGAAGAGTAAGGGAGGGTTTTAGCAATCGGTTGCTTTCGCTGTTACTCTTGCAATGGAGATACAAATAAATTTAGGAAATTTACCTTTTGGTTTGGATTTCCATCCCTCGGACCAGCTGGTCGCTTCTGCTCTCATTACTGGCGACCTTCACCTGTATCGTTACAGCGTTGATGCGCCACCGCGGAAGTAAGCTACAATTTTCAGACACTAGTCTTTCTCTTTTTTGTTAATAACTTCAGTCACTAACTTATAATTGCTTGGCTCTTGTGTCGATATTAGGTTGTTGGATGTTCATGCACATGAGGAATCCTGCAGAGCGGTTCGATTCATTAACGGTGGACAAGGTAATTTAATTTTTTTTTTCATAATTGTGTTCTTTTTGTTTAGTTGTTTGTATTATTAAGTGTGGCATTCGGTATGTGCACGTGCAGCAATTGTGACAGGTTCAGCCGATCGCTCGATTTTGGCCTCTGATTTGGAGACGGGATCACCTATTGCCCGTCTTGAAGATTCCCATGAGTAGTTCACTTACTACTTATTCTGTCTTTGGAAGTTCTTTTTTAAACTAATTTTAATAATTGATGAATAAAATGATGTGGGATTAATGTTTTAATACGTTATAAATTTTCAGGGATGCTATTTATAGTTTGATAAACCTTACAGAGTCAACCATTGCGTCTGGTGATGATCAAGGCTGCATTAAGGTTGTACATTTCCCAAGAAACATAATCTACTACTCTACTAGATAGTTTAAATCGTGTATCAATTATGGTTTGGCATTCCTTGATACACATTTCATAATATATCCTTGATTTATTATATATCCCTGTGAAGTTAAATTGAGTCAAAATTTATCTGGACATTCTATTGTCGCATACCCTTCTTTATGGTCTTTTACATCTCTTCCTTGATGACATTGGATGGCAGTGGCTAGACTCTTTGAACAATTTGATTGAAGCTAATCACTCATCTTTTTTTTTTTTTATCTTTTTGTTGTTGCAGGTATGGGATACCAGACAACGTACTCTTTGTAATTCCTTTAATGCTCATGAGGACTATGTTTCAGACATGACTTTTGCATCTGATGCCATGAAACTGCTGGGAGCAAGGTATACTGCACTAACCATTTTTCACCTCTTTGAGACTGTTAAGACCATGAGTTTCAACAAGGATGTGGCACTAATTATTTTGATGACCTCTGAGTCATTATTATTACAATACTGAGGGGAGTTCTTTTATTTTAAAATAGGTCCATTAGTTTAAAATAACTTTAACTATATTGTTTCAGTTTCTTTGAAGATGTCTTTCATGATAAGCTAAATTTCAACTTTTTAGAATTTAACAAAAACAAAACTTGAATTAGAGTGCTAGGAAGTGATTTTAGCTTATTACCCAATCTATTTTGTTTTTGGTATCATTAGTTACATTGTTTACGTCTGGTTCCTTTTGCAATAGACTTATTTGTACACAAGTAATATCTTCAACTTCTGCATTCCATTAATTTGCTCTTCCATTTTGTTTCTTTTTCCTTCATTATTTTTTGACAAAGAATTTTTATGTATTCTATCATCACATTTTTAAGTGGAGATGGTACTCTATCTGTTTGCAACCTGCGAAAAAATACGGTAAGCTCCTTTTCTTAATGATAAGCACTTTTATAGTGCTTGATTTATGAGATGCATATTTTTGGACTATTGATTCATAGTTTGGTTTCAGAATATATTAACTTATTAATGCATTCTATGTTAATGAAAGGTCCAAAGTCGGTCTGAATTCTCCGAAGAAGAGCTAACATCAATTGTTATGATGAAGGTGTGATTTCATTTTAAACTTGAAGTGCTGTAATTTTTTGAGTCATAAATACAGCATTTTCTTATTCCTCTGGACATGTCTTCAAAGTAACCTGGAAATGTAAATTAACTTCACAAGATTCCATATTTGTACTTCCTATCATTAATTTTCTGTAAATTTCTTTAATTGAAGATCTGCAAGTTCATATACAAATTTTTTTTTGCTGATTTACCCATTTACTGTTTTTTTGATATGCTATGTAACGACATGGTCAGAATGGTCGTAAAGTAGTATGCGGATCACAGAATGGAACTTTGTTGTTGTATTCTTGGGGATTTTTCAAGGATTGCAGGTTTTTAATTACATTCTTTCTTGTTCTGTCTATATCGCTCTATCTTGCACTCATAGACACACTTATGCTCTTGTGTATGTTGGGTGAAATATGTGTTTTGGATTTGCAGTGATCGCTTTACTGGTTTATCTCCAAATTCTGTTGACGTGTTATTAAAGGTGAGTTTGTTTAATATTGTAACATTTTTCAGTGTTTAGACTACTCTGAAGTTTACTATATTGAAATATTATGAAACTTTTTCTTAGCTTGATGAAGAAAGGGTTATTACTGGATCTGAGAATGGCCTCATCAGGTAAACAGATGTGCTTCATGGGATAAAATTTCTATCTGAAATGTTGGATCATAACTCTCTTATTGTTAACCTAAGTATTTTTTGCCTGGTTTCTCTTTTCTTTCTGTAGCTTGGTTGGCATTTTACCCAACAAAATCATTCAGCCAATTGCGGAGCATTCAGAATATCCAATTGAGGGACTTGGTAATAAAAGCCCCACTATTCTCTTTAGAGATTTATATGCAGAACCAATTAATTGAATTTAGGATGTTGTTTGGTGCATCTGGTTATTAATAAAAATCATATTTTTCATAGTGACAAAATTATTATATGGTGATACTGTAGTAATAATCACATTATTAACAATGACATATCTGTACTGATGACCAGACTATTAAAATGAGCATATACTAGAAGTAACCTTGTTCTAAATAATGACTATATCATGAAATTATAATTATGATGTTGTTGAAATATTGATTATTGTCACTTACCATTTAGAATATCACGTCACATCTCAGATCAAAATTTTTTTTCCTTTAATCTTTTATTCTTTTGCTTTTTTAGCACTTTTATTCATTAAGTTGGACATCTTAAAGCTGGATTAACAGCATTAAAGAATGCTTGTCTAATGAATGTTTTGGTTTGTTGTTGTAGCCTTTTCTTATGATAGAAAGTTTCTTGGAAGCATATCACATGACTCAATGTTGAAGGTATTTCATCTCTCTCTCGTTCTCTCTGTGCATGCGAGTGTGTGGGTGTATGTATATGTCTTCTTTCTTGAAGGTATATCTATGCACTTATGTAATACGCAAATTGTCAAAAGGGCACTTCATATGGTCAATATCAATATGGGTGCATAATGCAAGATCGATACGAAGGTAACAGGGCAATAGTAAATAAGTTGGCACTGTGATTGAAATTGTATAATCAGTAAATTTGTTGAGAAAGTTGGACTACCTTTTTTGGAGTTTGGACAGGTTACATGATCCCAAAATGCCAAATTTATGGTCATGTATTGTGGAAATATTTTTTGATTATCTTAAGTGAAGATTGATTGCTAACATCAAGTTGTTTGATTTTACTTTGTTTCTTTTTTGTAAGTCATATTCTAGAGTTTCAGTTTTCTTATTTGTCATCTTATTTGTATTTTTTATATATGTTGTAGCACCCTTCATTAATTTCTGTAACTCAAATTGGTGATGTTTCCTTAACGCAGTTGTGGGATTTGGAGGACATAATACAAGGTTCTGGAAATAATACAAGTCAAGCTGTGCTGGGAGATAGCGACAGCGACAGTGATGTTGGTGACATGGAAGTGGATAACAAAGGTATCTTGAGTTTCTTTCAAAAATATTTATTTATTAATCTTTCATCTGATGCTTATATGGATGCTGATTATAGGTCTAAAATCAATAGCACTGGACAAGAACATAATAAGTAGAATCTTACATGTGCTGTTGACATCATCAAATATTAGATTGATCATGAATTTTTTCAACCATTTTGTAGACTGTTGTAATCCTCTTCACTTTAGAGAGAAAAATAATATATGGCACTAGTTGCAAGTCTTTGATCATAATAATTATTTTGTTTATTAAAAATTTTGATTTAATTGCTCTATACCATGCAACAAAATGACTTCACCGTGGATCTTCTTTCCCAACTCTTTAAGCTTTCGCCTACTCAAGACAAGTTGGTTTTTTTTTTTGGCCAGTCTCTGCTGCTAACTTTGAAGTATGCCACGATTTCAATTTTTGTCCCCATTTGCAGGCACAAAAAGCACTAACGGTAAAAGTGCAAGTAAAGGAAGCAGTTCACATAGTTTTTTTGCGGATTTGTAGATGGATGGTAGCATACTGCTATTACATTTATACCAACTCAGTTACAAGTTTTATCAATGTGAATATTTTCAAGGAGACTCAACTTATTCTCCTATAATGAGTGATGTTTACCATATGTACCTTGTGGGATTTAATTTAATTCGTGTCACATGGGCTTTACTTGGCATCCTCATTCCTCATTCCTCATTCCCAAGCAGTGATCTTCGCGCATTTTTGAGTGAGCTTGATGTTGATTTCATCCTTTATAGGCAACCAAATTTTAGTTTTGATGTATTCTGAATTTGAGTGGAAGGAAAAGGATCCTTAACATGTAATTTTCTGTTGTGATTTTTTTGCCCTTTTACATTTGTCCAAAATAAACTATTTTTATCAACTTTCCAGAGAATGGTGCCGATAGTAGGAGAAATTTTATCTGCGAGAAAGTTGGTTGATTCATTATTTTTTCTTGACTAAGAGTGAACTTTTGTCACTCGTGCGGTGCGTATGTTTTAATGACATTGTCCTTTTCATTGAAGTAAAGATAACATTTAAGATAATTTTTTTTTTTTCACATACTATGACCAAGTGCACATTAAAATCAATATTCTTCGTCCATCACATGCTGCTCATCTTCATCATATTGGTCCATCTTTTTTTAGCTAGGTGTTTTATTATTATTATTTATTTCATTATATATATTGAAGAGTAGAATATCCCAAATTCAAATTATACTTCCAGTTTTATCCTGAACAATGTATTATTCCTTTTAATCTTCAACCGTTGGTTTAATTTAAAGGGCTTCAGGCTTCCAGTTGACGGGTGGCCACTGAATCTTAATCTACATAGTACATATAAGAAAGAATGCGAGACGGCTCACAAATACAACTCACTGTTTTTGATACAGCAAGCAACTTCACAGACGTATTTGCGCACTTATCTGAGCGGTAAAAACAGATTCCACAATCAACAAATGCTCTCTATTCAGCGTGGCCACAAATAGTAACCTACAGCATTTTCATGGAGGGGGGACTGACATTGAAATATCATTAACAGTTTCTAAAAAGTTCTCAGAATAATAATGATTAACCAAAAATACCAAGTTGGTGGTTCCTCATATCAATCAATACATTAATAAAAATCAAATTGAGACAGTAAAAACTGAACAAAAACAAAAACATATAACTCTATCACAAATTTCTAAGCTGCTGTCTCCTTCTTGAGTTTTGCAAGCTCCTGTCGGATAAGTCCACCTCTCTGCAACCCACAATTATAAAATATACATAAGAAGCTTGCAATTGGTGTTTATGAAATTCTAAATGTCAAACAGCAAATAAAAAATATATCAACTTCAACATCCCCAGTTAATTCATAAAGGGCGCAAAATTGATAATAATTAACTAACTGGCACTCATATTAGGTCCACAAAATTCGAAATAATTAACTAACTGGTACTCATAGTATGGAGGTTGGTGCACTTTTTTAACTCAAGCCACAAGGCATGGCATTTAAAGTTTCCAGATCATATTAATTATGCAAGCAATTCCAGAAACAGGGTGCTGGTTGTGAATTTAACTCAAGAAAGGCACAGTGAGAGGGAAAGGAAACTACAGTGGAGAAAAAAGCAAGGACTTTTACTTTCAAAAAACTGCTTACTGATATGATAAGTAATTGACCCATAAAACAAAGGACATGATTATAAGCTTATGGGTTTACAACACCATGCAACACATCAAAGACTAAATATCTAACCAATTGCATACCTTGATCTTTGCCAACATGATCTTGAACCTATCAAAATCATTAAGAGAGGCTCTTCTTTTCTGCACAATCAGCTTCCTGCCCCAGGAGCTGTTCTCCCATTTGTTCTTAACATCTGCCGCAGTAGGATAAAAGATTTAAGGGAAAGCATAAGCAGGTTAAGGGAAAAAAAGAAAAGAAAAAAACTATATTTTTCAATCATGGCACTAACCAGCCTTCTCCATGGCTTCAATCAGAGTCTTCTTCCTGGGACCTCGTTGGATGTCAATCTTAATATCTGTAAGTGAAAGCCTCTTGAAGTTCATTTGGCTCCTCACCATATCAGGTGCATCAACAAGAGCCTAAACCACAATAAAAAAAATTACATGCTTACTCATATCATGCGAAACCAATCCAACCTAATCAAAATATACTGACAAGATATAAATCAATGAAAAATTACAATTATCCTAACCCCAAAAGTGTTTTCATAAGAAAGATCTTGACAAGCAGAATCTAAAGCACTAGAGAAAATAAAAAATAGTGCACACAAATCCAAGCTAAATCTTATCTAAAATTCCTCAGATATTTTTCATTAGTAAGAATCATTAATCAGATTTATGTGTAATTGAATTACAAATATTAAAAACAAAGAGTAAATAAATTAAAGTACCCTGTTTTGGTCGATGACATCAACGATGACGACGAGCTTCCCATAGTCCTTGCCGTAGTTAACCAGCGCCACTCTTCCTATCTCCACGTACCTCTTGAACGGCTACACCCATTTAATAAAAACAAATATAGATTAATTATTACAAATTTAAAACAAAAAAAGGAAAAAATTGGACATGAAAGTGAATGAATATATAAGTAACAGATCCAAGTAGGGTTCAAGAAAGCGCTAACCATCTTTGAAGATCTACGGAGAAAGGCAGTGAAGCGATGAGTTAAGCAAGAGGCTTTAGTCTAGGGTTTGCGAGGTTAAGTTATAGTAGGGTTTTTGACTATAATCCGGTACGAACGAGTCTATGTTGGAATTTTGACGTTCGAATTTTATTGGTGAGAAGCTAATACATTAAGAAATAATAATGGCGAAGATTGGGTTTTTGCATGGTTACCCCTTTGTTTTATGTATTTACTAATCTGGCAAATATATGACTCCATACTTAAATTATTTATTTATGAGCAAACGTCATGTTCCCACCCAAGGTTTAGCGAAATGTTAAGCTGATACTGTTGGTTTCATTTATTCTAGATTTTCACATTAAAAGTAATATCGTAAGTGACGGTTAATTCTAACACCGATGCAGAGACTACAATTACCAATCTGCCCTTCACCTCATTCCAAACCACCATTATAGTAGGCCAAACCACCCCATTCTAAATCCCACAAACACCACACCTCAGATCTACCATAGCAGCCACCCAGCCACCACCTAAAATTGCGCCATTTCAATTAAAAAAAATAATAATAAATAAACCAAAATCCAAACCACCAACACACGGAAATAACCCAATCAAGCGCCAATTAAGCTTAATTTCATCAATTAAGCAAATCCCAATTCATTCAAACTGAAAACCCTAAAGATTGGAGGCCAACGAACAACAACAAATGGTGATTGAACGTTGATGGGAAGTATGGGGGTTTTAGAGAGGGAACACCGGTGAATCAATTGGTGGAGTCAGGGGAGGTTTTGAGGTGACCATATCGGTTGGAAAAGCTTGTGGCGCACCAACTCGAGCCAATGTGATGACCGACGAATGGAAAGGTAAACGTGGGTGGAATGAGAGGGGTTTTGGTGGGGGATAGTGGGGAGAAAAATGGCAGTGATGGGGAGGGTCGTCGACGGTGAATTTCGGCCAATCCTTGGCTGGGGTAGTGAGGAGCAATTGCGCGAAGCAAAAAGCTACGCTGGTTGACAATTTGCAAGATCTACAGGGTGGGGGACAGAGGGGTTTTGGTGTGGAGGGGTTGGGGGATCGGATGGTGGTAGCAAGGGGTCAAGATGTCGCCGGAATCTTTTGAGATGGGGTTTTGTGATGTGGAGGGAAAAAGAAGAAGATGGGCAAAGGAGGCGGAGATGAAGACGAAATGGGAAGAAAAGTAAAAAAAAAAAAAAAAAATGACCGTTTTAACCTATACTTGTTAAAATAAAGGAAAAAGTGTTATTTTTAGGGTAAAAATCTAGAATAAATGAAACTAGAGGTATCAACTTGGTATTTCGCTAAACCTCAGCGGGAAGATTTCGTTTGCTCTTTATTTATTTATTCATTGTTTGTTTGGTTAATAAGGAAAAGAGTAAAAGACATATTCCCACCCAAGTATTGACAAAATCCTAACTTGGTGCCCCATGTTACATTTATTTCAGATTCTCACTCTTAAAATAACAGTGTTAGCAATTTTTAGGGTTTAAAAGGTGTAATTACCATAATGCCCTTAACCGTAAATTAATAAATTATGTTTTAACCCCTAAATTAGTAGAATTATAAACTTACCATTTTATTTTCAAATTATGTCAAAAACACCCTCGGTCACTATACACCCTTGTCGGAAACAGCCTGATCTGGGCTGTTTTCGACGGCATTGAACCCCCTGGTCACCTCCATCACCTTCCTCGTAGTCTGTCGTCCAAAACCCCATTGGTTCCTGACTCATTGGCCCCTCCAATCGCCGGCGTCGTTAGGCTTAAGGTTTCGGTGTTCTTCGCTGGATTCCGACGGCGAAAATCCAATTGGACACCACCACTGCAACCACCGTCTCCAAATCTATAAAACCCCTATGTCGCCAGCAACCGTTTCATCGCCATTCGTTGGGCGAGAGTTCGTGTTCATCGATTGTTTTTTGGTGAAGTTGTTGTCACCGTTCAAAACAGCCAGAAACTGGCAAAAACCAATCTCATGTCGCGATTGTCGTGATCGGCGATCCGCGAGTGATGAGGGGTTGTGAAGAGTAGGTTTTGTAGAGGGGAGGATGGGGGTTCAAATGGTGGTGATAACGGTGATTTTGGGTGGAAGAATCGTTGGAAAAAGGGCGCAAAAACGTCGAGGACATCGTCTACTAACATGCGTCGGAGGACTGTTAGAGGCGGCGGTCTGCTAACGTGCACCACCTATGTAAAATGACCAATTTACCCCTTTATCGTTACATCAAACATTTTTCCCTCACTTTAAGGGTGAGAATCTAGAATAAATGTAACATGTGGTACCAACTTAGAATTTTGTCAAACCTTGGGTAGGAAAATGTCGTTTACTCTAAGGAAAATGACCGTTTTAACCTATACTTTTTAAAATTAGCGTGAGTTAATTCAACTTAATTGAATTTGTAATTACGTTAAATACTTTATAGATTATCAATTACATTCGAATATAGAAATAATTTGGATTAAAATGCTAAGTTTCCTTTCTTGTTACAGAATGAATTGACGGCTCCAAATAAAATAGAATAAGAATTGATGTCCAAGTCCTCGTCAAATATTGTCGCTCTCGTGAAAACATCCGAAAACGAAGGCAGAGAAGAAATTAAGAAAGGAAATTTCCGCTGAAGGTGTAAGCGTCTTCATCGCTCCAAAATTTGCAATCTACAAACATCAAAATCAGCATCCCATGAACAGTTTTTATAGTTTTTGTTTTTGTATTAAAGGATTTGCATGAAGATCATCCACTAGCAATTCATTGGTGTTGGAGGGAATGGCGGGCATTTTTCTCAGGAAATCTGCAGATGATGATCTTCATGCCTTCTATCCAATTCGACCCGAATGCGCTGCTGACGTCCCCAAGGCCCGTTTTAGAGCCCGGGTATGTTTCTTGTCTATTCATCTCTTTCGGCAATACCAACTTTCTTTTCCAAAATTTGGATTTCATTGGTTATGATTCTCTTTTGTAGTTTTTTTTATTTATGTTGTTTGAATTTCTACTTTGTTTGCTCACAGGCTGGGAAAACTCTTAGTCCAAGAAAATGGCAAGCTGCATTCTCTGAAGATGGTCATTTGGATATAGCCAAAGTGCTTAGACGAATCCAGAGAGGGGTACTTTTTTTTTTTCTTGTTTTATTGGGCGTTCTCAAGTTATAATCTGGATCTCTCATAGCACTCTCAGACATATATTATGAACACAGACTCTCTGTAAAGCTTACTGGAGGGCTTAATCAGGATGTAAAATTTAATCCCATATTGGCAAGTAGTTGTTTGGAGCCTATCAGCATGAGTTTCTTTCACCCTTCATACTTAGATCGTTAGTATACTGTGGCCAAACTTGATTCAGTCAACAAAAATTGAATGATTGTGTTTTTCACATTTTATTTGCTCCTGTGAGATAGCAAACGGTTTATGAAATTGAATAGTCACTGCATATGGATTTTTTTATCTCTCTCTCACTCTCCCCAACCAATTATACATGTATGTAAGATGTATATCAGTGATCTTGGTACTAGCATTAACGTCCTTCCATCCTTTGATGTTGTTAGTTTACATGCTGGTATGTTTATTATTATGTAACCACCTTTTTCAGATATAAAATGACTCATTTTAGTGACAAATGATAACTTTTGATACTGACGTTTTTTGCTAATGTGTAGTATACTCCACTAGCATGTAGGATGATCCTTTTAATTTGTGAAATGTAAAAGGTGTAGAGTATTTGCTTACTTGGATTCTATGCTAGGGTATTCATCCTTCAATCAAAGGGTTAGTATGGGAGTTCTTGTTGGGTTGCTTTGATCCTGACAGCACCTTTGATGAACGAACTCAACTGAGGCAATGCAGGAGGTAATGTCTTCCTTTAAATTATAATTTAACTTGTATATAAGTAAATGAATTTGAGCACTATGGCAAATAAACTGAATGCTTTATGGTATGGTCTCCTTCCATATTAGTTTTCACTAGGGCTTTAGATGTGTTTTGGAAACTATATACGATTAGACAATAGTATGAGTTTACACGCATTTATGTTGTCAACGTACATTGGTTAATTTCGGGTGAGAAACACACACACAACTACTACATTTTCCCAAACATGCATACATGTCCCATCACATAAAAAAAAAAAAAAAAAAAAAAATCATAAACATGCTTTCTGACAGTCAGCATGCTGAACCATTTGATCTATGAATTATTTGCCATTTCACAATTCGGTCCTTGGTCTTTAAGTTTGAGATCATTATCTTAATTTATAAATAGGTGTCTTTGCATGTTCCCCAATATGGCCTTGTGTGACTGGTTACTAATAACTCCCATATGGCTTAATATCTTACACCAATCATCTTAGGCAGCAGTACGGAAGATGGAAAATTGAATGTCAAAACATGGTTCCCATCATTGGTAGTGGAAAAATAATTACGGCAGCTATTGTATCTGATGACGGGCAAATGTTACAAGATTCTTCAGCAAACAATGATTCACAAGATCAGGACTGGCATGTAAATAGTGCTATTTCCGACAAGAAAGTGCTTCAATGGATGCTCTGCTTGCCTCAAATTGGTATATATGTGGTGCATAATTTCATTTCCACTGAATTTTATTGTTATCTTCTGAGTCTATTTTGTCTTTTATTAACTTTGAGAAGTAATTAGCAGAGCTGGTAAATGTTTGGATTGCAGGTTTGGATGTTGTTCGAACAGATCGAGCTCTTGTCTTTTATGAAAGTGAAATAAATCAGGCAAAACTTTGGGATGTTCTTGCAATTTATTCGTGGGTGGACAACGATATTGGTTATGTTCAAGGTGAATTACTATAAGCTGCATAATTTACTGCAAAACTGAAATAATTCTCAGTTCAAATAGTTATTTTGGGATTATTTTGTTGGGCAGGAATGAATGATATTGCCTCTCCAATGATAATTCTTCTTGAAAATGAAGCAGATGCCTTTTGGTGTTTTGAGCATGCAATGCGAAGACTGGTATGCATCAAATTCATGACATTATTTTTATAAAATCTTTTGTGCAAGTAGCGTGGACTACCTTTTTTACCTTCATCATCCAGGGAATTAGTTTAAATGAGTGGTTAATAGTGACACAATCCAAATGTTTTGGGCCAAATTGACTTGAGT